AAAACAGCACGAACGATTAACGCTGCACGTTACAGTAAAGAGCTCCGCTCACCACTTGGCATGCGGAGGGATGACCAGACGTCGTGTGGTCCCCAGTCTGGAGTGAGAGGAGGGCAGCTGATCACAGGGTAAGCCGTGTTACCAGACATCACTGGGCCGAGGCCGTTACTCCTCCCAGCCACAGCCACGAACACAGTGGGTATGCCATCACCTGCAACGCAGCATAAAGAAATGACCCGATTAGAAAGAATCCCACATCAGTATAAAGACGCAGCGACGTCAATATTAAAGCTCACCTTCATATTCAGCTTTAATGCGCAGCGTCTCATCTGGACCCTTGTGTGCCGAGGTGACTCTGAGGACACAGGGGATCCCGTAGGAGGCGCACGCCTTTCTTATCTTTTCACAATGAGCCACGTCTGAGGTGGAGCCCATTAAAAGCACCACCCTGCTGCTTGCCTGGGGCTCCAGCAGCAACTGTAGACACACAGAAACCATTGAATCATCACTTTATGTCAGTTTTACCTGCTCAAAAGAAAAACCGTACAGCTGTGTTGGTTTTTTTGTGATGTTAAACAGTGTTTGTTGGTTTGGACGTTCAAAGCAAAGAAAGAGCTAAACACTCCTACAAGATCAAGAATAGATTAGAGGCATCTGTTTGCTGTACCTTGACCCTTTCAGAGACCCACTCAGAACTCCTCTTCACCATCTGCATTGCCTCTGGGGTCACTTCCTTCAGCTCTCTGTACACCTACAAAGGGAAAAGAAAAGTTTGAGGCTTCTTTCTTTTTCATATCAGCATGAAAATAAATCAAAGTCAGTCCATCACCCGTTTGTCTTTTTGCTGGCTCCGATCTCCAGCTGGCCAAAGCCTCCATGAATCGTTGTCAATCACGTCAGCGAGCACAATCTCTCGACTTTTCACACTGACGCCAAATTCAATCTATAAGCAAAGAAAAAGTCCTTCGTTGTAGTTCTGCTGCAGCTACAGGAGAAAAGTGATCGCACCAAGATGTGACTTTAACCAGCAGGGGGCGCTGCTGCACAGCCTACCTTCATGTCCACCAGGGAGCAGTTCTGAGTGGCCCAAGCCTTCTCCACTATCTCAAAAATGGCCACGGTGCTGCGACTCATTATGTCCACCTCACACTGACCAATAGTGAGCCCAGCCAGACACAGTTTGGCCTCCAGCAGCTGCTCCTCTGACCACTGAGGATCATTGTTGGCATCATCCTAAAAACACCATCAGTGATGAGTTTGCTGCAACACTCGGAGAGAATCACCGCACGCAGCAAGACTCACTTTAAAGAACATCTCCATCTTTAGAGGAGAAAAGCGGTAGCCCTCTTTGACTCCTGGATTCCTCCTGAGGAAAGATCCAGTCGCCACTCTGCGACACACCCACTCAACGGGTATCATCTCGCAGTGCGCTGCGATGAACGCCGTGTCCGAGTGCTGCTTAACAAAGGCCGTCTTAATGCCTGAGGAGAGAAGGGTGGATATCAGAGCAACCTCAAACTCACGGACAAATGACAACATCTGAGATTAAAATCTATATTTTATTGAATTTGTATACATTAAGTATTATTGCATGATTATCATTTCTGTTCATGCAGGAAATTTAGGCTGTTTGTTTCCTGTCACTGAATCAACCTTTGATGCAATCTGTTGTTCCCAAAACCTCGTGCAGAAATAAAAACCTCACCAGACTCCTGCAGCAGTTGGAACACGCAGCTCGCGGTTTTGTTGGCAATGGCAGCTTTGCCCTCCATCTGATCTCTGCTCACGGCGTTCCCAGCTGTGGTCTGGTCTTTAGACTGGAGTAGAACCAGTCCCGGGTGGTCCACGAGCTCGAATATCTGTTTAGTCTTGCCCTCATTGAGCTTCTGGCCGATTTTCAACTCTGAAAACAAGGAAAGAATTAAAACATGCACATCTAACTGAAGCGCTAAAGTGTGGATTAAGGCTCGTGCAGTACCTGGGGTGGAGGCCATGGCGCTCGTGGATCCTGAGCAGGCCTGAAAGACAAAACACGCCAGTGAACTTACAGAAGAATTGCTTCATTTTAGTCTACGCCCATAAAAGCCGGATTTGATTTCCTAGCAGGCAGCACTTGTTTCTTTTTTTAAAGAAAATAGTGGAAACACAAATCTCCTTTTAAAGTGTCACTGTTGTTAGCAACATGTTGTCATGCAGCTTGTCTGTAAGGATGTCACATGATTGCCATTCTTGTTTCTGATGAAACATAAGATACAGTTGTTGAGACCAGGCTAGTTTGAAGTTATTAATTTGATGGCAGCTAGACTTTGTTTTTGGTTCATGAAGCTGTCCCACATAGAAATCACACCTTAGGTCATGTGACCCACATAACCCATGCATTGAGTCACACGTCAGCTCAACTGATGGGACCCTTAACGACCTGCATAGAAACCGGGCAAGTCAATGATCCATCACGCATGAGAGGTGAAATGTCTTCATGAACCAAAAACCCTGGTTTCCTTCAACTAGCTTGCAGTTTAATGTATTTTTCTTTATTTTCCAATTACATTGAATTCAGAAAGTCAACCAGACGACCACAGGTTAGCAGATTGCACAGTGCAGAAGAGCTAGCTCATCAGGCCTGGACTCTGTTTACACCTACAGGCCAGTGGCAACTCTTTCAGTGACGATGTGCACATCCTGGTTTGAGTGG